CCCTCCATTCCTCTCCATGCTGACAGGTGGTGTGTCTGTAACAAGTAAACAGGTGTTGCTTTGTGCCTCCACCAAGAGACAGCGAGCTGAAAAAACCCAACAACAAACAAACAGCAGCGTCCCTGTCCTGCTAATTACTGTGAGAGCGCTTTGTCAATCACCTTAGTCTGAAGTTTAGTTAAAACGTCAAGCGCTGAGCCCAGGCTTTGCAGTTCAAATGCATTTCTCATTTCCTCCTGCGCCTCTCCTTTCTCTCAGACTTTGTCCTCTCATTTCTCAGGGCTGTCTTTCAGAGCCGGCCTTGAACTTTGAAAGAAAGACGGTTCAGGGAAACTGGGATCTGTTGTAGCTCAAAGAGGTTCGTCAGCGGAGTGGGAAAAACACAGCCAGCGGCAAAAGTTGGACGCTGCAGACGACACGTCGGCAAGGCTCCAGAGGGGCTGCTGATGGTGGGAAGTGCTGCCGGGGATGTCCCACGATGTGTTTGTGGATTCAGTGACACTTTTGACGTAACGCTCCTGAAAGTCAGTACAATCAGTTGGCAGTAATTTGTTTGTGTGTGTAGATGAAAATGGCCTCTTCACACTGCAGGGCATGTCTTCATTCTTGTACAAAGCATTAGTATAAACACTGTAAATCATAGAAGAGGGTTGATGAATATGAAGGGAACTTGGCTGACCTCTTTAGCCATAGCAGAAGACTCAGCCAAGCCTTCTCAGATAAGCCTGACGAACCATCTTAAAATATTGGGTGGCCAAAGAGAATGTACACAAAAACCCGAGTAATTTGACTCCCACGAAAGCGTTCGGAGAGCAAAATAATATACAACAATCTGAGGCACAGCTCATTTATTGTGACCCGTACATGCAGGACAAGCAAATGCTGAAACTAATTCATTTGTCTACATCAGTGCAAGTATGGAACTGGAAAACCTGCACACTGTCACGGATGAGCTTTACATTTATGACCCAATCCTGCCTGGGGATTGCAGCAAGGAGGAGCAATAATCAGCTTTTTGATGGCAATACGTAAAGCTGTTGACACATAATATTTTAAACTGATAGTCTGATTTCTTCTATTTGACCATTTTTATGTCAAAAATACTTTTAACTCAATTATTTTAGTTTTTTTCGTTTAGAGAATCCTCTGAAACACAACTTTGGATAAGCAGGACAAGGAACTGTAAAAAACTGTAAAAAAAAAGAGAAAAGAGAAAGAATACTCCACTGTACAACTGAGATTTGAGCCAGCCATTGTAATTGTCATTCAATCCTGTTTATTTAAACTTCTTAACTTGTCTTTTTCCAACTCATTATTTTTGGTTCTTGAACCAGTTCTGTTCAAGATTCTTGGAACCTTGGTGCTATTAAGTCAACCAGCCTACGCTAATGAGTTTCGAGCAGAGCCATTGTAATTGGATGGGTCGTCAACAGAGGGCGTTGCACAATGGAAAACCTGCTATTTTTTGGTTCCAGTTGGGAGCAAACTTCATGATCGGGACCAATTTATTTTTGGCCAAAATGCTCTAAACAGTTAAAAACTAGGTGCACGAGCCGGTTCCCTGTTGGTGGAAAAGGCCTACAGCATCTTTTCCTCTTTAAACGGACATTTCTAGTTCAGTGAAACCTATCTGACCACTGTTGGTATTTCTGACCATACTTTCACCATTTCACCCATCATCACATAAATCTATAACTTTTATTCCAAAGTTGCAGTCTGGAGCGTTATAGTTGCATTTATACTGCAAATGGTACACGGTAAATGGACTGTACAGCATCAGGAGCAGGAGGGGTTCAGTATCTTGCTCCAGGACACTTTAGAATATAGTGGAAGGAGCCGGGGATGGAACCACTAACTTTCTGATTGGTGGACGATCCGCGCTACCTCCTGAGCCACAGCCGCCAATAATATGATTTCTATGTGATCAAGTGTGATTTTTCTTGTCCAAAGTGTTTGATCAAGAGCATATTGCCAAACCTGAAATGAGTGCACTGAATGCACTGCACTTTTTTTTTACTACTGTGGTAGTGTCCTAGTATTGATTATACAGTACAAAGGACTCTACAATGATGACTATGCAGACTATTTAAGCATCACTGGACATCACAGGAGTACTGTCATTATGTTGATGACTGAGACCTTGGCCGGTCAGATGCTCCTAAGCAATGCACTCGACCCTTAGATTGATCAATGTCTCTGGGCTCAGACGGTTCAGGACCGCAGCAGAACCTGCTGTCTGCTGTTTGCTTAGACTAAAAAGCTGCTAAAAGCTGGGATCAATCGGGTGGGAGAATCAATCAGGATCATCCGTGTTTATACGACTCAGGAGGATTACCTCACTGTTACTGGAATGGCCTCACAGGAATGACTGGCCATTAGAACAGTGGGACTAAACACTGCCCCGCTGTTTACATAAAAGGTAATGTGGGCCCGGCCTCGGCTCAGTGCGCCAGAGACAATTAGGCCCCTATACAGGCCGTAATCCGCCGCCAGGCGCGGGGTAATCAAATTCAAACATAGCCGGGCCCCCGAAAACAATGAGGGACGGGATTACAATGAATGCATGAGAAGATAGAAAATTAATAAGCTTAACACAGTAACATGTGCTACAGTGACCAAGATTTAAAGAATACAGCATCAGATGGATGTTTTGTAAATGCCTCGTATTTTTACTTTTTGGTTTGTTAAGAAGTTTAATTGTGAATTGTAGTACTGCAGATAAGGAATGAGTAGGTGTTAGTTATTTTATTTTGTGTGGTTTTTATTTTTAGGTCTTGATAACTTAAGCAGCTGTACTGGGAAATATAATTTATTTGTCATACAAATTATGCATGTGTTTTCTGTTTTTAAACAGTATCAGTTGGTCTTACTAAAGCAGCTCCTTTCAACAAAAGTCAAAGTCCCTGTAAGGTTTTATTGTACATTAACTTCTCCTTAAAACCTCAAAGACTGAGGTATTGATGGACATTAAGCAATCATTTTTGCAGGGAAATGTCTGTTCACAGTAGAAAAAAAGGAAAGCTATTACCAACTTGATAAATCAAATCTTTTTGTCTCACATAGAAATAACTAAGATGTATATTAAAGGGAAAGTTTATATTTCTATTGCTTTCTGAAATAATACTAGCATTCTTTCTGCCCATGAAAAGATCCCTTTAAGTTATGGGGACAAAATCCACAGATTGTATGTATTTAAAAGCTTAGCCTGAGTTAATTTGAGGTTTCAGAGGTATGAGTTGGACACATCAAATGTGTATTTATAGTGCAAAGTTCTCTCTGTACGTAAAGGATTTAGTATGCTCAAAACAAAATGTGTCATGTTGTCAGACCATGTCTAAAGTGTTTGTACCTGTTCCGAATGGCCACGCTCAACAGTGGGGTGAACATAAACTGTCGCAAAGAGGGGTGACAAGGTGAATGATTCAAATAAGGATGAGAGGACACACTTTTGGACAGTCTCTGGTTGAAGAAATTCATGGTGTTGCACTCAGACACATGAATAGTGACAGAAATATTTGTGTGAAAAATAAAAGAACATAGCTTGAAAGTTAGAAAAAGAATGATATTGGAAGATACCCATTTGATTTGTCCAACCTTGACTGCTGAAGCCTCACTGGTTGAACTTTAATCAGGAGAGGGGCCTTGGATTTTGTTCCCTATCTCTTACATTGTTTCACTAGGACAAAAAGAACAATGCCAGCGATCAATGGCTCTTTCAGTGCACATATGGTCATATGGGCATTATATTAGTACATGAATTTATCTTTTAAACTATAAGAGGGCATCTAGACACTGGAAAACGTAAGATATGAACAGAAGTAACATCAAGAAAGTATTCTCTGTAACTCACCTTTACTTCTATTTTCAAATTTCTTTAGATGGTTTCATTTTGTCAGCAGACATTTTGACTAGTTAGGAAAAGCACAGGTGTTAATAATAACATGAACAATGGCTCCATTCTGTTCAAGTGACAGTGAGCCAGCATGCACAATACCAGCACCCTGAAACTCAAGTAGCTCAAGTGAATTCAGCTAGTTATTTATTTTATTTTTTACACCTCTTCCTTCTGTGGCAAATGTCATTCATTTCAAACAAGCCTTTTGCTTCCATAAAATGTTCAAATTAGAGCTTTCAAAGAGTTTTGACCTGCAGGGCTCCATTTAAGTGTTTCTGCAGGTTATGGTTTGATATTTACAGAATAAAAACCAATGTGACAGAGACAGACACATAATCTCCACACACGTTATCTTTACTTTTTCCTAGACTTGGAAACCAAAATTGACTATAGCAGAAAATAGTGATAATCTATAATGATTAAAGATGATATTATAGCCTATTTTATTAGCAAAATATCTTCTTTCTCACTGCACTTCCAGAACTTCTACACCTTTTTATTTTTTAAGACACTTATGTATTTGTGTGTGTAAATGTGTGTTTGTTCGGCATCATAACCGAGCCAGAGTTGATACTTCATACATAGCATGATAATGTTGAATGTTAAACTGTTGAATGACATGAATGGATGTCTTTGTGTTACTGGTATAGGTGAAATTCTTATCTGGGGCTTCAATGTTTTGCTCAAGGACACTGTCACAGGTCACATGGCTGTTACTGGGACACCCACAGCAAAAACTGCAATCCTGAGTAGTTAATATTTACATGGTTTAGGATGATGTAAGTCATCAGGTATCAAGGTGTAGAGAAAAGAAAAGAAAAAAAATGACATAAGAATTGTGTTTCAGAGAATGCATTGTGTATTTTTCTCAGTTCTTCCAAGAATCCACAATCTGATCATTAGTGTCTCATCTGCCTCTGTACACTGCTCAGAATACATTAGGCAGCTTGACAGACGCGTCACCTGTAAGCATGTGGACGTATCAGATGATAAGGTGGACTAAAGCCTATAAATACGGCTGCCTGAGTCTCCCGGTGAGCCAGTGTTAAAACTCTGCTGCACCACCTGATGATCTCTGCTGCCTGAACCCCCGCATCCTCCCTCTTGCGTTTAACGTTTATCATTTCGGTTCAAGTCCTTTTATATGGAAAGAAATGCCACCAGAAGAGTAATATTTTCAAGTCTTTTCGTGTATGAATTAACCGCGTCCTCGATCTATTAAAACGATGTCCCCCTGTGCGTAAAATGCCGCGCTTAGTGCGTCCTGGCGCGGACGATTCCTTGGAAAATGTGCGGTGTCAGTCGCGTTTCCCTCACGCCCCGCTGCTGTGGGTCGGTGCTGAGCAGGAGTGGCATCTCAGCGACAAAATCTGGATGAAAGAGCGTCCTTTAGAGCTCAGGCATGCATCGAGTAGTGAGATCATTGGCGTTATAAATATCCCCGTGTCAGCAGAACAACTCCAGCTACTGCAGCCGGGGTAATGCCCAGGAGCGCTGCACGGGTGTGTGCGCACGGTTTCTGGCGCCCAGACCTCAGGAGTGACACCAAAATGCTAGAAGTGGCCTAGCGAGTGTCTCCTTTTTGGAAGAATGAATGTTCCTCTTTACCTTCTGACCGTCGCTCACTTGATTTGCGCCGCCGCCGGAGCACAGTACGTCTCTTTGGAGCGCCAACTTCTGGAGGAGGAGATCAGTTCGGGACGCAGGACTTGCAGGCTCTACTGTAGGGTTGGCATCGGCTTCCACCTCCAGATTCATCCCGACGGCAGAGTGAACGGCAGCCATGAGCCCAACCAGCTGAGTAAGTCATTCACTCCGGTGCCACGGTGCCTGGAGCAGTCTAACTACTAAATAATAAACGTCTGACGCGCAGATGAATCCAGTGCGTCCCGCTGAGAATGCGCACATGGATCAGCATTCCTGCATTTGCTCTAATTGATTCGCTTCTGTTTGCAGTTGTGTCTATTTTAAATGCCACCCGGGGAAGTCATAACAATAATGATGTACACAGGGAGAGTGCAAGGACCGCGCACCTAAACTTAGGCTGCCTGACCCTGTGAAATAGCTGAGCAGCGGCCATCTGGTTGACGAGCCTTGTTTGTGTCTCTCCGGGATGTTGGCAGGTAGACTATTTGTGGAAGTAACAGGTGCAGCAGTGAGACACTAGGATGTGTTGGATTGCCAATCAGCACGATTGTCATCACAGAAAAGCTACTCCATACACTGCAAAAATACCCACTTTAAAAATTAGACTTTTATTGAATCTTTAAACGATTTACCTTCTAAACTACTTTAAATATCGATTGGTTTGCATGCAAATTCAATTATTTCACTCTTTTTTTAAATGAAATATGTCACAAATAAATAATTGGTTGATAGTTAAGTACATTATTGTGCTCTGTGGAAATGCCTTTTCAGTTTTGAGGGAATTTATTTGAGGGAAATTAAAAACTACACTGAGTTACATTTCAGTGCAGTTGGCCGAGATAAGCAAGGTTACAGTGTCCAGACTGATGTATTCCTCCAAGGTCAGATCATTTAAGAAGCATGGCCCTATGGATACTGGACTTTTGAGGCTGATATCTGAAGTTTAAGTTTGTCGGCTGATATTCATTTTTGTACATAAACTACACACAACATCAATGAACGTTTTTAAATAGGAATATATGCATCTGTGATGAGATTTTTATATATTTATATGTATATATGTAGCTTGTCCAGCAAGTTAATTTTCTCTTATATGTATAAAATCCAAATACAGCAGTTTTGATATATTTCTTACAAAAAGCATCTTACAATATGGCAGATGACTAACAAGATTTCACAAGATGATTAAACTGAAATAATGACCTCAAAACTCAAATGAAAAATATGACATCGACACAAAAACTGCTTCACAAATTCAGATGGATTTGAACAGTGAACATTATTCAGCACACAAGAGCTTTCAGCTGCATCCAGAACGAGGCATGTCAGGGTAACACCTTATTTGGGTAGTCTGCTTACAGATTTATAAAGTGTTTGCAACATTTCAACAATTTGCTTTGTCTGTAGATGTTTAACAGATTAATTATAGAGTATATGTGACCATTCATACCCTAACCAAACCTTAACCATAGTGGTGTAATGTCAGAATCTGTTGTTGAATCTCAACTAATAAGCTGTTGAAATGTTACAAATGCTTTCTTAAACTATCCAGACTATCCTTACAAAGTGTGACCCAAGTTAGTAATATTAGCATGAACATTTAAGAATACTAAAACTTAACTTAAAATGCAATGTTAAATACAACAGCTTCTAAATGCCGCCCTGTATGGGAATCTCGCCCTGTGTCGTTTAGGCCAGAAGACTACAGACATAAATCAGATTTTCAGTTTTTACTGCCCCATCAGATCCCTCATCGCTCATCCGCTGACGAAACAGCCGAGGCTCACCGTGAAAGTGCACTTGTGCCTCCATTTCATGGTCCCCTTTAGAAGAGTTGTCAGGTTACATGGATTTCAACACGACAGCCATGTGGTTTTGAATCCTGCATTACAGCACTGGAGACGAGCAGGAGACTGGGTGTCTTAGATTTGTAATATGATGATTATTTTACCATCACACAGCATTACATTTCATATATCACTCCTTCACAGAATGCCCCAGATAGTGCACAGACAGTATTAATCTGCGATAAGTCTTTGTCAGTTTCCTTTTATTTGGACTTTTCATTCTTTCTGGGATACTTGACTGACTTTGGTGCTGTACAGCAGTCAAATGGATGCATTGGATTGACAGTATTGTGTCAATATTGGCATTTTATTTAGTGTTAGAGATCTCTGTCTGTCATTTGGCCATAACAAGTTTTTTCTTTGAACTAGTTGTCCTAGATGTCCTGCATCCAAGAACCAACGATTTTCATTAGTCTGCGTTTCAGTGGACAGTTTTAGTGTCTCACAATGGCCCAAATGTTGTTTCAATAGAACCCACATTGGCACAAACCACTATTGCATTTCCTGGCACCCTAACTCACCCTAGAGTCACGGTGCCAGTGTAGAACAAGAATTATGTTCATATGCATTTTATTAAAAAAATTCTAGTTTTGGAAGACAAGTACTGATGGCCAGATTATATTTTCAACCATATAGGCAAAAGACAGATGTGCAAAAGGTTCAATGATTTTCTGTTTTCGCTCTGACAGTATCTGCCTCAGGCAACTAAAAAGCATGATTAAGGATTATTCAGGTTAAGCAACTGTGTTAAGGTTGTGATAAAGATATAAACTGCTTATTGCCCCGATAATTTATACTCACCCGAATGATCTAAACGAACATACTGTAAGATCAAGACAAGGCCAAAGGTGCAGCTGAACTGGATAACTGAGCAGGGCAGCTCACACCCAACTCTGTTACCCAGCAGAAGAGACACATAAGATGATGAAGAGTAAATACACACTCTGTCATCCATCAATCATCAGAGCATGTTATTTGTCCACCCAGGTGTCTTGGAGCTCTTTGCGGTTTCTCAGGGGGTCATCGGCATCAAAGGGGTCTACAGTAACAGATTCTTGGCCATGAATAAAAGAGGGCGGCTCCACGCCACTGTAAGTATCCCACACACTTCACAAACTGCTTCTGTTCATCACCCTGCACTCTTAAATTCACCCGCAGCAAATACACACTCCGGAAGTGCAGGGATACTACATGTTATTTTAAAGTGACACTTCGTAGATAACAAGTGTTGATTGCAATGTTGCTGGCCAATCATACAGCTGAAATAACAATTAAAAGGTTTAATTAATTACCTATGATGGGTTTTGTTTATTGAAGGGAAAATGATTGTTGGGTAATTTAGGGGAAGAAGAGCTGCAAAACATTCTATCGGTCACATATCCTGACACACTTCACCTTATAGAGTTGGTAATGCTAAAAAGTTAGCAAACAGTTGTCGATTACAACATCAGGCAGACACAGAGCAACATTATGATAATACAGGAGTTGTGTAGCAGTAGCAGAGAATTTCCATATCATTGTATATCATCTGGTATATATATACTTATACATATACTTCTATACTTCTACTACACTTTAATTCAGAGGAAAATATTATACTTTTTACTCCACTACATTTATCAGACATTATTTCTACACTGTGGTATTGCTTAAATGTTCAGTGTGTAACATTTTGGCAGAATATGGGCAGAATTTGAATATTATATTCATTGATGTTTTCATTAGTGTATAATCACCTGAAAATAAGATTTGTTGTGCTTTTGTTACCTTAGAATGAGCCTTTTTTTTATCTACAGAGGGAATGGGTCATCTTTCATGGAGTCTGCCATGTTGAACTGCCATGTTTCTACTGTAGCCCAGAATGGACAAACCAAACACTGGCACAAGGTAGGGGCTTTTGCACTTTTTGCAAGTTTAATGGCCA